AACACAAATCCATTATGCCCAAATCATGTCTTTAATGGGCAATACATCCCAGGGGCCATAGTCACATGGCAGGAGGCTGGCAACCAGGCTTCTCCAGTGCATAGTGGCGAGGTTGGTTACGCCACAGTGTCCTAAACCATGACGCTAATTGTCTATACGAGAAGTGAGCTGTGTCGGGAAGCCCATATTGTGTTTGGATCTCAGTGAATGTGTTCAAAATTGGGCCCTGACATATGTGGTAGAGATGTTTAATGTCATGGTTGTGCCATATTTGAAGGTGGAATTCCGGTATGATCAGGGCCAGTGTCTCCATTGTTGTTGCCAGAGAGGTACCCCCTTTCATTATATGTGTTTTCCCAAACTGATCCCAGATTTGTAGCGTGAGTCTAGTAGTGGGGAGAATGTCCTTATGTTTAGGCCGTAATTTCCTAGACATCCAAGCCAAAGCGGGGATTGTGAAGTCATTCATGTAACATGCTTCTATACGTACCCACTGTGGGGGGCTGGGGTTACCAGTAACTGCCAAGAGTATGGCCGCTTTGTAGTAGTGAGCTATATTTGGCAAGCCCATACCCCCTTTCTGAAGGGGTTTGTGTAGTGCAGCTGCTGCTATTCTAGGTTTAGTGTTATTCCATATAAACGAGGTTACTAGAGTTTGCACTTCACTTAGGTAACGTCTGGGGATTGCAAGCAGGATGGTTCTAAACAGATATTGTATTCTTGGGAGGAGCAGCATTTTTACAGCAGCTATCCTGCCCACCCATGATATAAATTTCCCTTTCCAACCGTGTACAAAGGATTTTAGCTCCGCGAGAAGTGGGATGTAATTCGCTTTGTGGATGCCCGCTAATGTTTTTGTCAAGGCTATCCCTAGAAATGTAAGTTTGTCCGTGCGCCATTCGAACGCAAAGTTCGTTTTAAAGAGACTCATCTCGGGTTGCGGTATATTGATGCCCAATGCATTTCCCGTGTTGGTGTATCAGATTTTGTAGCGCCGTCAGGGAGGAGCATGGGTTTTGTAGTGTGAGGAGGATGTCATCCGCAAATAGCGTGATTTTATATTCCTCATGTTTTACCCTAATTCCCTGGATCATGGGATCATTCCTAAGCAGATGTGTGAGTGGTTCCAGGGCGAGTATGTACAATATCGGGGATAGGGGGCAGCCCTGCCTAGTGCCATTTGAGATGTTGAAGTTGCTAGATGAGAAGCCCCCATTTACCACTTGTGCCAATGGGCATGAGTACAGCGCTTCCACCAATGCCTTGAACCGTGGGGGGAATTCAAATCTCCCAAGGAACGCGCGGAGGAAGGGCCAGTGAAGGCGGTCGAACGCTTTTTCAGCGTCCAATGACACCAACACGCTCGGCGCTCCCCCTCCCCACAGTCCACCCAGCAGATCCAATACTTTCCTCACCCCGTCTGCCCCCTGGCGGCCGCTCACAAACCCCACCTGGTCTGCGTGCACTAGAGTAGGAATTATTGTTGACAGTCTGTTGGCGTAAATTTTAGCTAATATTTTTGTGTCCGTGTTGAGGAGCGAGATTGGACGTAGGTTCTGGCATCTATTTGGTGGTTTCCCTGGCTTAGGGAGTGTGGCCACAAGCGCCATTAGCATTTCCCTCTGCATTTTGCCCGTGGTGGTTATGTGGTTGTATAATGATGTCAGGTGCGGGGCCAACAGGCGTTAGTGAAGGCAATTGTGTGAGGTCTAAGAAATGTTTGATTTTGGTATCTGTAGGTTGATGGGTCGCGTCGTCCTGCTTTAAATTATACAGTGTGTGGTAAAATTTTGCCATCTCATTGTTGATATCTTGGGGGTTGTATAGTTTTGCCCCACTGCTAGTGTGTAGGTAAGGGATTTTAGATTGGGATTGTTTTTTCCTTAACATTGCTGCCATAACTTTCCCTTCCTTGTTGCCCTGGGAATATTGTCTCATTTTTAAGCGTTGCATAGCGCAGGATGACTTGGCTAGGTGAATGTCATTCAGTCGTTTAGTAGCGGACTCTATTAAGGTGAGATGAGCAGCGTTTGGGTTTAATGCATGTGCGGCCATGGCATCCCTAACTGTTCGTAGTAGTGTCATGTATTCCTCATTGGATGTGCATTTAATGTAGGCGGCTCTGCTGATCAATAGCCCTCGTATAGTCGGCTTGTGGGCCTGCCACAGTGAGCTGGGGGATATGTCCGGAGTATCATTGATCTGGAAATATTGTTCCAGATCCCGTATCAGTCGCGCCCGAAATGTAGTGTCGTGCAGTAGGGAGTCATTTAGGCGCCAGGGTGGCTGCCCTCTATGGGGAAAAGAGTCTCTTAGGGTCACCGTGACAGGTGCGTGGTCCGACCACACAATGTCTCCAATCTGGCAGTGGGTTATTCTTGGCGCCAATGTCCCTGACACCAATACGTAGTCTATTCTGGAGAACGACTTGTGTACCTGTGAATAGTAAGTAAACTCTTTATCCATAGGGTGTAGTGTGCGCCAGGTGTCATATAAGTTGTGTTCTGTTAGTAGGTTGTTTAGGGCTTAACTCTGTGTCCTTGTTGCGGAGTGTCGTGGGGAAATGCTAGGGAGGGACGTATCTGTGTGTGAGTTTAGCACATGATTTAAATCTCCACAGATAACTATATTTCCCGTAGTAGAGATGGGTAATTTGTTCAATACTCTTTTTAAAAATTGTGTTTGGTTCGTGTTTGGGCCATATACTACCACCAGTACATATTCAGAGTTGTTTACTATGCAGTGTAATATACCTCCCCTGTGCATCTTTGCGTATGCTCAGCAATTCAAACGTCAGTGAGTGATGTATCAAAAAAGACACCCCCTTGGATTTGGAGGAGTGAGTAGCGTGGAACTGAGTTGGGTAGTCCCGTAGTCCAAATTTGGGGACTCTATTGGTCACAAAATGAGTCTCTTGGACGCATAGGATATCTATTTTATCCCTATTTGCCTCTTCCAATAGAATGCGTCGTTTATGGGGGTGGTTTAACCCTCTAGTGTTGTTGGATCGTATTGTTATGGACATGGGTGGAAAGTGAGATGCTGGATTGAGGCACATTGTACCATATGAGTTTGTTTCCACTGTGGCATGAGATGGTGTTGTGCTATATAGTGGGTAGGCTGGTCAGTGTTTGGTCCTCTCTTCTGTGGGATGGGGTGGGGGAGGGGTATAACCTGGACAATCGAACTTGGACGTTGTGAACATGGTTTCCTCCTGGGAGGGTGTGGTGCGGAGGGTCCACACCTCGGGGGTGGGAGTTCCTGGGCTCTCCCGTGATGTGGCTGTCGAGCTCTGTGAGATATAATCAATGTCATAGAAAGGCTTAAATGCGAGTTACATGTGGGCTTTATCGGCTTCCATTGTAATTTTAACCTTGGCATAGCAGGGCGTACAGCATATCACCCAGCATAGCCAAAGCTCTTCATGTGAAGCTACATCCGTCATAGCCCGCGCGAGCTGCCGCTGCCGTGTGCACAGTCACTGCATACAGTGGCCTCTGCCCGGCCCACGGCCGATATGCATGACCTGTTCTCCGCCGTGCATAGGGGCGGTGCTAGCCTGCTTCGTCGGCCGCGCAACAGAGCGCGCCCAACGACAGGGACTGTATCTGGGGCTAGATCCCCCCTGCACCCCACACAATGGCAGACCTCACCTGGCCTAAATTTTTCTGGTCTACCTTGTTGTCTACTACGTCGTGTCATGTCTAGCGCAAGCGATGCAGCATCCGGGGGACACTGACACCCTGTGCGTCTATACTTGCGGTGCATGTAACAGGGTCACTATGGAGTCTATGGGATACAGCCTAGGCGTATTTCTATACATATAACAATGCATATAGTATTTCGGGCATCATAACTCTAAACCCCCAGTGCCCATGGCATCTTGATAAACATATGCGAAATTTAGACAGGTAATACTAAAAACATTGTAACAGGCTTGATATTGTTAAGTGGTAGAGCCACTGTGGGATTTCAACAAACTGTAGTTAGTTTAGTTGTGGTTAAGTGTTGGGATAGTGTCAACGATTTGCAAGCAGGGAACTCTGCCTTGCCGCCCCTAAACTGGGTCATCCGCTCCATTTCTTTGTGTGGCGGTATGTACGTGTGAGAAAAAGGGAGGCTGAAAGAGTAACATCTGTAATGAGCGTGTGTATAGGAGTAGTGGAGTGCAGTGTAGGACAGTGTGGCTGTGGTATTGTGCGTGGATAATACTTGCGACCCCTGCCATCGTGTTAATTAGGTAAGTCTCTTGCGGGCAACGCTCCACTCCCATGTCGTCTTCTTAATCGGCTGCGCAGCAGACTCCGACGGGCCAAGCGGTATGCCCCATTCTTTTAGAAGTTTAACGCCTTCCTCCGGGGTATAGACGGGTTTGAAGACACCTCCTCGTTGGATCAACATCTTGGTCGGGTAGCCCCACCGGTATCTGGTGCCATGTTGCCGTAAAGCTTCTGCGACTTGTTGGAACGCCCGTCGTTTTTTCAGCGTTGCCGCCGAGAGGTCGTTGAAGACCTTCACTCTGGGATAGTCTTCATGTGGGTGGTTGCGGTTTCGGCTTGCCATGAGGACCAGCTCCTTGACATGAAAGTAGTGGGCCTGCAACAGCACGTCTCGTGGCGTGGAATCTGGCAGGTAAGCAGGCTTAGGGATCCTATGTATCCGGTCGATTAACATCATGTCCGTTGGTATGTCCGGCGCGTAGGCTCTCAGCAGGCCTCGTGCATAGGCCTGAAGGTCTACCGGTTAAACCGACTCTGGTACTCCTCGAAGCCGGATATTATTCCGCCGAGCCCTATCTTCTGCATCAGCCATTTGCACCTCCAGACGTTCCACCTTTTCCTCCAGGTGTTGGACGTGATCCACCATATTATTGTGGGCAGAAGCGAAGTCCCCCATTTTGTCTTCCATTTTTGAAGTACGGGTTCCCAGCTCTTGCATTTCCTTCCTCATGGCCTCTGCCGTTTGTTGCCATGAGGCTATCAGCTTGCTGGACAAGGTATTCAGTGCATACTCCAAGAAGCTTTTCGTGATTTGGTCGGTCTGTGTGTTGTCCGCCATGGGGAGGCTCGTATCCGAATCCCCGTCGCCATCTTGGGCGTCTGGCTGTGAGGTCGTTTGCGGAGTTTGGCCTTTGTGGCCGAAGAAGTTGATTTTATTCGTTTTAGCAGTCGTTTTTTTTGTCCTGTGGGTAGACATCGCTATTGGTGTGTTTGTCTCGCTTATTTTCTTGCTTGTTTGTGCCTTTTAACGCTCATGTATAAGAGCTCATTACCGGAGCAAGTCCTTATGCGGCCATCTTGCTCGGTGGTCAGCCACGCCCCCAGGATATAGTGTTTTAAAACTTGTGATAACCTAAGCAAGATCAGACCAAATTGTTCTTCTTATGTGTACATCACAGACATTTTGTAAAGTTTGTTTATCTACTAAACACATATCAATATGTGAATAAGTATGGTGGACCTGGGAGAAATAGGTATAATCTCTACCAGATGGAAAGAGATTATGCCAAGTATCGTATAAATCATATATATGTAGGAGATTGGAGAATTTATTACTAAGAGAGATAGTTTGAGAGAGGGGACATATTCCATGGGCCCTTTCAACATCTAATTCAGGATCTAGCATGCTATAAAAGTCTCCACTTATAATAGTGTGGCCTTGTCGCAGTTTTGTAATTTTAGAAAATGTCTTATTCAAAAATATCGCTTGAGACTCATTAGGGGAATATACTGATGCAAAAAGCCAAAAAAAATGTGTAGCGCTATATATATAGTAGAATAAATACGTAAAATATACTTGACCTAGTATCATGCAATGGTGTTCTTTACAATCAGCAGAAACACCTACAATAGAAATACAATACTCCAATAGTGTAAAATAGTATATATCAGGTTGAAGGTAAGAGTTAATAGTAGGAACCACTCACATTTTCCTGAGCTGTAAACTTAGCTCAGGAATGACACGCCACCAGGTCCGTTTAGGCGATCTTCCCCTTCTTTAATACCGTATTTTCTTGTGATTCTAAAATAGAACTAAAGCAGAAGGCATATATGGTGCAATATAGTTTGTACTAAAAGATAGAGTGAAATATCTATATTGAGATAATCACAATAGGCTCAATCACAGCGCGTTGTGTAGTATAAGGACTACATGCCTATAAGCAGGAAACCAATAGCCCAGAATCTAGTATATAAAACTATTTTATTAGTAGGGTATATTTCCCCAAATTCAGTTTACCAGGACTGATTAAAAAAAAGGGTATAAAAACAAAATATGTTAAAAGAGAGGATTTACCCAGCTGAGGAAGCCGAGAGGAATTCGGCAAAATGCGTCCTGGGGACATGGGATAGGGGTACTGATATTCCTAGATGGAATATTCAGAAGAGAGGGAGTCCGACTAGCAGGGAGCTGCTCACACTGGAAATAATAGGGATTCACTAAAACCTATATGTAAAACAGCAAAGAAAGCACCTAAAAGAATGGTACATAAAATCCAGGAGCTAGGGACACTGTGTCTTTAAAAGATAAATATATTGGGGGAGGGTCCAGCCCTGCTGACCACGGTAAAACGAGACCACGGCACCAGCCGCCACACTCCCAGGGACCAGCATCCTGAAACATGCATTGACCACATTGCTAGCCTATTGTTATTGTTATTTTATTCGCTGTTTGTTTTGCTTTTTCACTAATAAGCTCAGTTACCCACAACCTGTTATCACTGACTCCAACCTTACCGGTCAGAATTAATTACACAGCCCCGTGGCGGTAAGGCGGTTGCCTAACGCCCAGACCATAGGTCCTCACGCCCCCCGCCCCCCAACCTATGGGACAACCGAAATGTGAGTACCTCATAAATATGCTGTTGTGGCAGATTTACATATGTCTGTATCATTGACATTGCACCAAAAATAAAGAATTAAAAAATATATATATATTTTTTTAAAATATAATAAGGTGCATATGCAGCATGGAAAATGTACGGTGCGTTTACCCTTGATCCCTGATAAAGTGCAGGGTAAAAGATACTGTCACCAGATGATATACTTTTTGAAGATAAGGATATAAAACATAAATTATTGAGCACACCAGTATATTTAGCTGGTTGCTATAAAGCCTGAGAGTATATCGCTGAAACCACTAAAAACAATGCAAAACTGGAAGTGCAATAAAAACCAGTTTATTAAACAAAATATGGATTAAAAAATATGCATCAGGAACAGTTCATAAGAGCTTAACCAGTCTGAAAAAGATTACGTGTTTCGTAGGAGAATGCCCTACTTCTTCAGAGACTGGATGTAGTACAGTGGTTGAGTGGTTTCTTTTATACGGAATTTGTTAATTGTCAATAAAAACTTTTGCTTAATTTTACAGAAAAACAGAAGATCGGAATCAAAACATATATAGTGATACATCTGCATAACATTTTCTATGTATTAATGAAATAAAATTTCAAATAAAATACAATAAAATAAAATGATCTCTTCGGGATGTAATGTAATATGTATGTAACAGAACATGAAGTGGGATCGTACAGGATGTCATGAATCACCTATCAGACTGCATTTAGGGTATTGAGACACAGAATGTTTAAAAGGCATCTAAAATGTGTTACAATACTTTAAAGTATGATATAGTACAATGGGATAATCTTAAATAAAGTATAGAAAATACAGAATTACAGGATAAATGAGTTGCAGTAAATAACTTACGATAAGTTTACATTGCATTGCTAGGTTTCTCATTTTATTAGTAACATTCATCAACCTGGGAATCTTTAGATATGTTTGTGAATGAATTATCAGAATCATCTAAAGAAAACATAGAGAATACATTCCACTTGTCATATCTTACTTGTAGTATTAGTGATACATAATGCTCATAAATGAAATATTCACATTGCGGTACCTGTTTGTTTCAGTCTATGTATTTATACAAAACCATAAATAAGATTAGGCTAACCAATTTCATTGAATTTCAATAGCTGCCACAGTTTAGTATTTTCTTCCTCCAACTTATAGATTTTAACCATTGCTTCATTATGGGCTAGGCATAGTACCTCCTCTCTTTTTTTCTAAATGATCTGTGCGGTCACCAAGAATTGCAAGTGCAATTTCTTTATGTATCTGATTCGTAATAGAGGTAAAATCCTCTTTTATAGTTCTTCTCAGACCTTAAAGCATTTGTGTCAGAAACTCCTTTGTAACTTGGCCTTCACCTCCACTATCTTGTATGCTATCTTGTGTCCTATCAAGCATTATATCAACTTCAGTCAGACCTGAAACAACAGCGTTGTCAGCATCGTCCTGCACATGTTTCTGTTGGTCTTTTCTGGCTGCCCTCAATGGATCTGTCAGCTTCATTTGTTTTGAAGAAGACATCGTGCTTTTTTTTTTTTTTTTTACTGCACTGTGCCCTCACCTCCAGCTCACAGCTGCTTGTAGCCGTTCCCAGATCTGTTTGAGGTTTTGGCTGGAGATGGAAGTGAGAGGAGATTTTTTCCTCGGCTGGCTCTTACGAGGTCAGAGCGCTCACTCCATGTGTCCGATTACGCCAGAAGTCAGACACGCCACTTACTTTTGAGGGGGGGGGGAAAGTGCATCTTATAGAGAGAAAAATATGGTATTCATAGCACACAAACAACATACATTGTGCACATCATAAATAGAGCTACCCAGGAAAGTTCTTTATAGAAGGTACATGGCCCCAGTAAGATTTCAACACAGCAACCCAAAAAAATCAGCAATGTGCGGGAGATGCTTAACAGAAACTAGAACGATGTTGAATGTATGGTGGACATGTTCTAAAATTAAGATGTTCTGGAGCTCAGTTGCTGAGCTAATATCCCGCTGCTCAAAAATTGTCCTGCCGCCTCTACACTATACGCTGACTACTATTACCGATAGAAGTGACCCGGAGCTCACAGCAGCATTAAGAGGACATTACTTGTCCCATTATTCCACTGCCTGAGCATGAAATCCACCCGTGAGGATCTCTGTCTATTGAAGCCCGCAGCTCGACAGCATGGAGAGGTGGCCGAAATCCCAACTAGGGCAGCATGGCCTGTAGATTTTGATTGCAGGCCCGCCGTGGGGGTTATCCCGGGTCCTACTGAAGAAATTACCCATCTGCTGCAAAAAACGGTTTCTTTTTTTTTCCATGTTTAACTTTTTTTTGCATTTCCAAATTACAGAGAAAATTAAAAAAATAAATAAAATAAAATAAATAAAAAAGCTACCTTAAGCTAAATGAGTCCGGAGTCTCTGACGTGGATGGAGAGCTTTGAGCTCAGGTTCAACAAACTGTGCCAGGAGTTTAAGTTGCAGATTTCGCAATTCCACCATACAAGCACCTCAACCGAATCAAGAGCCGATTCCAATTCACAGTTCTTCCTCTGGGCAGGAGCCCCATGTGGAGCAGAATCCACCATTCAGTCCAAAAACCCAAAGTTGGGAAAGACAGAATCAATGAACTTATGACACTGGCTCCTATGCCAGCCTGGGCAAGAGGCGGGGAGAGATTATGGCATCAGGAATTGTACCTCATGTATTCTTTCAGAGTCCGGTCATTCCTATCTAATACAGAAGTAGATGCTTTGTGGCCTACCTGTGGCATAGGTTGAATATGTAGGGCAGAGTTCGTGCATATATCTGAAATAGCTTTTTAGCACTATGGAGTTCTTACCTTCTCTTTATCTATCTTTTCAGTGGTATTGCAGTTCCTCAGTTACTTCTTTACTGAACAAGCATACACCTCTTTGTTATATATTCCTCTGTGTGTTTAGACTATCTCGTGGGCCTCATAGCCGCTCAAGCCACCGTTTTAGACATACGTACCTAACCTGCCTCTGTTAAATCCTATCACTAGCACTGTTCTCTCATGTTCCATACTGTGCTTATTGCTATATATACTGCCACACTCCTTACGATTACCTTACCACTATAAGCATGTTTATCTTGTCTTATATTATAAAAAACGTGCAGCTTTTTCTTGTACCATAAGTCATTACTAACATGTACTATTGCACTTAAAAAAAAAAAAAAAGAATGTGAAAAAAATAATAATAAAAAAAAAACAGTTCCATGAATAATGATCCACCATACAGTCAACACTCCGCCAGCCATGCACATGCCTTCTATAACTTGAAGGCAACGAGAAAGGAATTAGATCACAAGTCCTAACAAA